GTAAGTTCTATCTAGGAATTTAATATTATTAAGGTACATTAATGTTTCAGGCCCGGCAGGGCATGGCTCAGCGGTTGAGCATCGACCTAGGATCCAGGAGATCGAGGTTCAATTTCCAGTCAGGCACATGCCCAGGTTGCGGGCCCGATTCCCAGTTGGGGGCGTGCAGGAGGCAGCCGATCAATGACTCACTCATCATTGATGTTTCTATCTCTCTCTCTCCCTCTCCCTTCCTCCCTCTGCAATCAATAAAGATATATATTTTAAAAAATATGGCAACATTTTGTTTGAAGACCAAACTGTGTATTGAATATTGTGGATATTTTAAAATCCTTAAAAGTATCTCTAATTTGGTTTAAATCTGTCTCTTGTGGAATAGACAGGTGAAACAGATCCAAACAAAATAGTTTGAGCACATGGTTTGTGCTGGTACTCATAGTATCTAACATAGTCATATTTCCCTCCTGGGCACTGTGCTGAAGGTTTCTCTTACATTATCTCTTTTAAATACTACACTGTGTTGCCTCCTGCTCACTTGTTTATTTGAAATTGGGTGGTGGGTATATGAGTGTTGGGTTTTTTAAAAAATACTTTATAATTTTTTAAAAAAGTATTTGCCTTACAAAAGTCTATACCTTGAGAATTAAGCCATTTAGATACCCAGAGTTGACAAATATTGACAGACAACATGCTATAATTTTTACTGCAAAGGTAAACAATAAGGAAAAATAAACATCTTTTTTTCTTCCTTAAAGAGGTATTTCATAGAAGCATTTTGTTTTCTATTTTGTGATTGGAGCCTGGTGAGTAGAGGAAAAGTATCAGAGGAATCTCTTTAACTTTGAGTGGGTGTTACAAGCCAGCTGAAGGAAAAGCAAAATCAAATACGCAAAGAAATGAGAAAAGAGAAAAAAGAAAGAAAAGCATGTATGTTGGAAAGTTTTAGTATTACCCTGTGAATAGTTCAGAAGTAACAGGTGAGATTATTGCCTCAGTTGGCCATCGTAGGATGAAAGAGCCAAGGACAATTTCAACTACCATTTCTGATCATAACCAACCTTTAATTATAGGCAGCTCTAGTTTTAATTTTTTTCTGTTTCTCATTATGTGACAGTCGCTTAATAGTTGTTGGTACTTGAAAGACTTCAGAGGAAGTAATCACCTTTGTATATATTATTAATGTGTTCATAATAGAAATTAAGTCCTTTGGGATGCCCAGGTACCAAGTTATGTGAAGCGTTGCTATTATCTGAGTCATGCCCTTTGAAATATTTGGAATTTGAAGAACCGGATATGCAGTTTATAGTCTAACTTATTTTGGAGCAATATATGGCAAGGTAGTTTTATTTGCTACCAAGCATTTTTATTGGTATTATTTCTATATAAAAGGCTTTAAGAAGGCCATGGTATAATTTCCTTATGTTAAGAAAAAGAACATGATTATAAAGATAAAGCTAAAATATACCTTCAGTTTTGTTTGTGGTTTGCTACAAATTGAGGCAGACTGAAAATATTTTAAATCAAGAGCAGACATTGAGTAAAAACTTTTGGCTTTGGATGGATTTGAAACATGATTAAATAAGAGTAAATTAGGTCAACCAAATCCTAATGGGAAGAAAATAAAAATACTCTATAATATTTGACCCTCAGTTTCAAAAGCCTTTCCATGATCTGGCACTACTTCAGGGTCAAGAGAACTTGTAAGAATAGCACAATGAGCACACGTGGCCTTTCCTAAAAAATACAAACCAAAAAAAGACACTTGCTTTAAAGAATCATTAATGTCAAATTTGTGACACATCCATCAAAAGTTTAATATACAGATTTCTCTTTAAAAACTGGGTTAAAAATAGCAGTGGTGGGAGGAGGGGGTAACTACTTTTGACAGCATGGTTGGACCTAAAGGCTATTATGCTCAGTGAGTAAGTCTGAGAAAGACACATACCATATGATTTCATTTATATGTGGAATGTAAAACAGTATAAACAAAAAATTGAAACAGACTCATAGACACAGAGAACAGACTGATGGTTGCGGGGCGGGGGGAGTTGGGGAGCTGGGTGAAAAGGGGGAGTGGATTGGCAGTTACGGAATAGTCATGGGGGTGTAAAGTACAGCACAGGGAATATAGTCTATAATATTGTAATAACTGTGTATGGTGCCAGGCGGGTACTTGAATTATCAGAGNTTGGGGAGTGGGTGAAAAAGGTGAAGGGATTGAGAAGTGCAGCTTGGTAGTTGCAGAATAGTCACAGGGATGTAAAGCGCAGCACAGGGAATAAAAATAAGACTTCTCACCTACTTAAAAGGGAAAAAAAAAAAGACAATTTAAAACACCTGAATGCAATTATAGGCAAAAGCCTTTAATTATCCTACTTAAGGTAACTTGTACAATTGCCTTCTCTCCCCTCTTCACTAGTAACTTTATTAAAGAAGACCTGAGGCATGCTGTCATTCTACCCATTTTATACTAAACCACAAATTCCTAACAGTTTTCTTAATTAAGGTATAATTGCACTTAACGTCATTAGTTTCAGATGCACATCATAATGATTCACTATTGTATACACTGTGAAATCACAGTAAGTCTGGTTAACATCTGTCACCATACATAGTTTCAAATAAATTTTTTTCCTCGTGATGAGAAATTTTAGATCTCTCTTAGCAGCTTTCAAATATGCAATACAGTCTCCGCGCTGTCCATTACATCCCCAGGATTTATAACTAGAAGTTTGTACCTTTTAACCCCTTCACTTACCCCCCCCCCCCC